GTGTCCAAGACCATTGTCTAATTTCACCAGGCCCCATAGTATTCTGTCGGGCGTGTTTTGTTTCGCACAGGAAGGCAAGGCCACGGCGTCTTCCTTCCAGAGTTTGATAGGCCCCATGCTTAAAGCATTTTTTCATTCAAGCATCCCCAGACCCCGCAACCACAAGGAACCTCTAGAAGCAGACGCTGAACCCTACACCCCCCATGCTTAGGGTGGCCTTCTGGGGGTTTGTTGATACGTGGTCCTCTTACAGGTTTTCGTGCCTTGTTTGATAGATCCCAGAAAGGATAGATAGAAGGCCGACCAGAAGAGCTTGACGCAGATCATTCTAGGGGGTACTACTTCAGACACATACATCCGACAACGTAAGCCCTAATCTAGAAATCCGAGACCCTAAACCTCAAACCCTCAGCCGTAACATTAGGCCTGAAAAACCCCAAATCCCGATGCCAAACTCGGAATGGGTAGATTCTATTGACCCCAAACGAGACACACGAGGCTCATATCGACTTCGGCAAATGGGTGGTGGAACGCCAACGCAGCAAGTGGGTGTCGCCCTCAACATGTAAGGCTTCAGGGTGTTAGTGTTTAGGATTCAGGAATTTCTTATTACCATCTCAAAGAGTTCTTTAAGTGAAACCTAGTCTGAATATTGACGTAAAGGCCTTGCCTTAACCCTTAGAGTCACCCTGACTTACAGTAACACTTCTAAAACCCTTCACAGCAGCCTCAGAAAGCCTCTTCGAGCTACTACGGCGCCTACATGTAAGGACGCAGCTGCTCTCGAATTTCTAGTCTAGGCCTAGGAGGCGACGTGCCAGTTGATGGGTTTAGAGTTTATAGGGACCGGGTTTAGGGGTTCAGAGTTGAGGGGATCTGTCTTGAGTGTTTAGAGTTTCGGGCCTCTGGGCCTCATACTGCCTATAGTCTTGGGCTTCCGGGGGTTCCAGGGCCCAGGGCTCATGGGGCATACTGTATGTTTATAGGGCCGCTATTGGGCCGACAGGGTCGGTATGAAGGGCTTGTAGGGCTTTTAGGACCTTGAGGGCTTCCAGGGTTTCTAGATTTTCGGGTTGGCAAAGATACAGTTTACTGATTCGGTGTACAAGATCTGGAGAGACGAGGCGCATTGAGGCAAGTGCCATTAAGTCCTCAGGAATCGTAGACATCATGTAGAGGGAGTGATCTGGCGGCCACACCCAAGACAACTGCAGGCAAAACGTCATGTCAAGTGAAGGCATAGCTTAAGTCTTAAGTAGTCCTGTCCTAAGTTTTTAAAAGAAACCCTCACTATCCTGTAGACATTATGATTCTCAGTGTAGGGCCCTCAAAACCCGCAGACCACAAAACCGTTTAGCCCCATCATCGACCCATCATAAGGCCTTTCGAGAACTCCGGACGACCAACCTAAACCCTAGAACTCTAAACCCAGAACCCCAGAGCCCTAAACCCTGGAACCCAACAGCCAGAAACCTAGAGCCCTAAACCCTCGAACCCTAAACCCCAGAACCCTAAGAACCCCAAACCCGAAACTTGCTGGCAAGGTATGGCGCGCAAGAGCTCCAGCACAGACTTGCAGGGAGACCCAGGTTAGCATCGGGCCCCAAATGCCAGCTAAATGAGTAGGGTCCTGTAGTTCTTATACGGTTTAGGGGTTAGGATTCGATCAGAAATAACATATATATATATACATATATTTAAGTTTTATCTAATTATTTTCCTATATGTTATACATATTTGTGTTCATACACTCAAGGCTCAGCGTGTCGTAGTTCCCTGCAAGCCACCGGCAGAGGGAGCCGAGAAGCGGGCTGCAAAAGGGCGCCTGTAAGTTGGATCCTTGCAATCATCAAAAAATTATAAGATCCCCAAACCCTAAACTCAGATCCCTGAACCCTGAACGGGTAAACCCGTTTATGTGGTCATTTGGAAATCATCAGTGAGAAAGACGTAACTGAGACTGGGCTGGAGTAGTTGCAGTCCACATAGCAGTAGCCGTAGCAATAGAAATGGCAGTAGCACTGGCAGTAGCATGAGCAACAGGAACAGTAGCAGTAGTCGTCCTGGTCACCACTGTAAGCTTAGTAATGTTTGATCTTTCTTATCCGTTGCAGCTCCTCTAGCTTTCATCAAGAAATGTTGCTGCCGCCATGTCTGCCACTCCATGACCGATATACCATCATCACCAAAGCCACTAGCGCCGTCATGTCATCATGATGTATATCTTCGATGTTGTCTACGGTCCTCGCTCTCGGGTCTGGTCGTTGCTGCTGTTCGCGATATGGCTGCCGCTGAGAAGTTGTGACAGGCATAGCGGCATAGCGAATCAAGGCCATAATCATGAGGTTGCCGACAACAGGTCTAGCCTTTTGTTGACATGCGGCTGTTGGCTTCAACGTGGTAGTGGCACCGCAGTCGTCGTCGGAGCAGCAGCAGCAACAGCAGCAGGAGGAGGAGGAGGAGCTGCAGCCGCACAATGCCAGTGGCCAGCAAGATGGGGCCCGAAGTATTTGCTTAAGCCTGATGACCACCGGTCCACAAGCACCAAGTGACCCATCTACGTTTTGTGAACCGGTGAGGTGTCGCGCATCTGTCTGCGGACTTCGAGCCATTTATTGCATACCAGACTTTGAGCGGGTTCTGAGAGCACGTGGTCCTGACCAAGCCTTCGACGAAAGCCTTGAAAACAGAACCCAAAAGCAAGATGAGAAGCTAAACCTTCTCATCTTCTATGCCAAGGCCCGAACACCAAATCGGAAACTCGAGATGGAAGCCAATTCGCCAAAATTCCGGCAGTTTACCCGCTGAGGTCATCCATCATCCGTCGAGCCCCGCGGCAGCATCTGGCAGCAGCAGCACTGATCGAGCTCATGTACTGTGTTTAAAATGAGTTCACAAGGGTAACTAACTAGACATGTATCTCCAGATACATACACACGGAAGCAATATATGTCTGGACATGATCACATAAGCAGATATTCATGAAAGTTTGTAAACACACACACACACACACGCACCACGCACGCACACACACACACACACTATCTATCTGTCTATCTATCTATCTGTCTATCTATCTGTCGATCTATCTATCTATCTATCTATCTATCTTTCTGTCTATCTATCTATCTATCTATCTATATAGGTACATGTATATGGATGCAGATACATACATACATACATACATACATACAGACAGACAGACAGACAGCCAGGCAGGCAGACAGACAGACAGACAGACATACATACATATATATATATACATATATATATATATGGATACATATCATTCGATCGTAGGTATTTATACTTGCATACATAAACTCTGTCCCTTTCTCTCTCTCTCTCTCTCTCTATATATATATACACACACACATATATATATATATATGTCACATATGTGTGTATTTATGCTTTATACGCGTGCATGCAGAGAGGTATACAGTTACATGTCTGCATACAGATGGGCCAAATACTTAAGTACTTGTGTAAACATGTGTATAAGCACACACGTGTATATATTTACATGAAAATACATAGAGAGAGAGAGAGAGAAAGAGACATATGTCCACAGGTGTATGTGTGTGTATATATATACATAGATAGATACACACATGTTTGGTTATATAGTCGCGTTTATGTATGTGTATATGTATACATGTAGATATGCGTGTATGTGTGTAGGTATGTATGTTTATGTGTGTACGTATGTATGTATGTATGTATGTATGTATGCATGTATGTATGTCTGTTTGTATGCATGCATTCATGTATGTGCGTGCGTGTGTAATGTATGTCTGCCTGCCTGTCTGTATGTATGTACGTACGCATGCATGCATACATGATGCATGCATGTATGTAAGTATGCATGTATGTGGCTGGGCAGGCAGGGAGGTTAGGTCGGTAGGTAGGTAGGCAGGTAGGTAGGTCGGTCGGTAGGTACACCAAACCCAAGCATTCAACACCTAACGCCTAGAGCTGCTTCTGTGCTTCTAGGCAGTTGAAGGCTGGGTTTTAGCCGCCATCGGTACCTCGCATGTCGTCTCCCTAGGACCCGGCGTGGAAGATGGCCGTGAAAACAACGGAATCCGACTTCGACGAGATCGCGGACATTAACGATATTTAGCCTCGGTAGGTGTGGCCGAACTGGCAACTTTTACCTCCTGTGAGGTTTACATTAGCGGCTTGGGAATGGTGTGAACACGAGGTATATGTTGCTTCACATGTCTTCATTCTTGAGTTCGACTTTGCTGCTACACTGTCCAGCAAGTCTGCCGGCCCGGCTGTGTCGCGGCAAGACATGTAGATGACCTGATGGCCTAATTTGCTCGGTGCGCGCCGCATGTGTGTGCGGCATGGTGCTAAGCAGAGTTTCCATGGTGCAAGCGTGGGGAGGCTCCTTTTCCGGGAGGATATGCGAAGCAATGCGTGTCCTCTTGCCCTTGACATCTTGTGGTCAGTGTGTCCACAGGTCTAAAATTCGATTAAAGCCGCTGGTGAGCACGAGACAGCGGCCGAGGGTGTGGGGCAAAAAGGCTGTATGCGCCTGGCGTCCGCAGCCGGTGAGTCCTGAAGCCCTTCACCCACCGGTACATCACCAGTCACATGTCTTTTGTTCGTTTGTATCCTTGGCTGCGAATCCACATGAGGCGACACGAAACCGTTGCAGGAGAATGCTGCTGTAGCCCTCCCAACAATCCCACGACTGCTCCGATCGCACCTTCTACCGTCAGCCATTTTGTGGGGCCACCCCGACATGGGGCAGAGCCGCTTGTTGTCTTTGGCCTTAGTTTCGATTTTCCTGCTTCGCGCCACTGAACGAACGTTTCTGGGTGTGCGACAGCAGCCTCTTCACTACCTCGCACGGCGGGCAAGGTCCTGCATCTTGGTAGGTGAAAGTAAAATTTTGGGGATAATATGATCCCTTATAGAACTGAAGGCATAGACTGTTTCGGGCTTATGAACTCCGCGACTCAGGCAGTGCACCCGACACATCAGCCATGTCCTCGGTGAGCTTCTCCCACGTCCACATCTACTGCGATGCTTTGAAGGATTTAGCCGAATACAAGAAGCCACTAGGCCCTGGTCAGTTTTCATCTTCGGTTACCATACTGGGGCATAGAGTAAACACGCTAAACTGACTCTGGTTCTTTCACAAACTCCCTGTGAGATCTTATGACTCCTGCATTGAAACCCCTTCCAACCTCCTCGACCTCGTTCTTCACCCGAAATCCTTTACCCTACTTAAGCCCGCAGCATCAAGTAGCAACTAACGGCAACTAACCCAGGCTCGAAGAGAAACTAAATGAGTTTGGCCGGCAGCCCTTGGACAACGTGGCAGCAGGCCGGGATGCGTGGTTGGCCCTTGCTTCCAGCCATGGCAATCCCGTGACGGGCGAGCGAGACCCGGCTCCTCCTAAGGAAGTATGACTTTCAATGGATTAGACTAGACATTGGTTGGAGATGTCCTAATTAAGGGTTTTGGTATCTCCATTGTGTGGAGCAACGTGTGCATTTGTGTTCCTTGAAGAATTGCGCTGCCCAGGAGATCCGCAGAAATGGACAGGTCACAAGCAAGATGTGGTGGAGCAGATGCTCGTTGGCTTGGGCTGGCGTGTCTAGGTCCCTTTTGGTACCAGGATATAGCTTCCATGCTGATTATTGAGGTTTCTATACTGACACAGAGTATTCGGGCACCCGAAACCTTGAAGCCTAGACGTCAAACACTCTAAGTGAACTTTAGACTCCGACAACACTACACCCTAAACCTAGACCTCAAAGAACCCTTTAAAGGTGACCTTGATTTCTGAAGGGGCATCCAAGGTGTCACTGGTTTCGGCCAGACAGCATCCACCCGCTCGGTGGCCGTCACCAGCAGCGACAATGAGGGCGTGAAGTTCGTGATCACGGCCCACAAGGACAAAAGCATGGCTGATTTCGCTTCTGCAGACGGCCACCCTGCAGCCAAGAGGCAGAAGTCGGAGAAGGAGGCCTTTGACCACCTCGGGGAAAGCCACCTGGAACGCTTCTCTCAGCATCAGGCTGGCCGACAGGGTGTGGCTGTGTTGGGCTTCCAAGTGAACTCCGGGGAGCTGGACGGCATCGTGGCCAAGTATGCGGAAAAGCACCCCAAACTTCTCCCACCTGGCATGCCCAAGGAGTATCCGGGCGTGCGCATCCTCGAGGTCTATGCCTACTACCAGGGCGAGAAAAACACGACGGAGGTGGACTGCGGCACAATGCTTCGGTTCGTAGAGTGCTCCGACCAGAACGCGGATCATTCGGTGCTTCCAGGCCTGAAAAGATCCCCCAAAACCCTTTTTCGGAAACCTATTCTACTTAAATACTATAATTAAAAACCCTCAGGCATCGAGAAGGTACCCGCCACCTTCGATCCGAGCAGCTTGCCGGCCTACTGCGATCATTGGGTCAGCAACGTCGTGAGCCGTCGCGGGTTCCTCGACACCTTGGAGGACACCTTGGGCTTCAGCCCCAAAGTGGACTTCAACGCCGGTGTCGTCGCGGCAGGGGAGGCCCAGATTGAGTCCACCGTCACCGGCAATGAGCCAGGGACCTTCATTGCCAACGACCAAATTGCGCTGAAGGATCAGAGTCAGGTGGGGGGGTGGGGGGGGATCAGGCTTCTACTATCCAACTTAAGCTCGAACTTCTATCCCGGGGCGACCTATTTGTTTGGAAAGTTCGAGGTCTATCTCCCGATCAACAACGCGTTGTCCGAAGTGGGCCATGTCCATCTCTATCTCCAAGAAATCGGTCAGGGCGTGCAGCACATCGCCTCGCGTGTGGTGGATCTTCCGGCGTTGGTACAGCGGGCGAACGATTGGCGCCGGATGACGGGTGCAGGGGTATCTTTCTTGTCCATCCCGAGATCCTACTACGGCAGCTTAACCCCAAAGTACTTACACAAGGTGGCCGGGCTGGACGATGCCATGGCTCAGAAGGTCCTGGCCTCTCTCAAGGCGGCGAGTGTGGTGGATGCCAGCGACATTGTCGACTTAGATGTTAGCAAGGAGAAGATCATGGCGGCCTTGCCAGAGGGTTGCGATGAGGACCTGGTGATCCACATCCTGCGGGCCCGCTACGGCAACCTCTATGCCTTGCTTCGGGACAACATCGGTGAGGAGACCTACCTTCGCATCGTTCGGAACAACGTCTTGGTGGATGTTCAGGGGGAAGACCTCTTGATGCAGATCTTCACCTCAAGCATTCTCCAGAGGGCCCCGGGGGAGGAGGCACCCTTCCTGGAGTTCATCCAGCGCGTCTGCTCCGATCGCAAGGATCCCGTCTCTGGGGAGCCACGACCCATCAAAGCAGGCTGCGGTGGCTTTTTGGCCGTTCTTGCATACATTGTTTGGTTTTAGTGTATTTTTTTCTTCAGTCGGAACAAAAACAAACACGTGTACAATGATTACCAAAAATCCCAACACGTGCGCTCAACTTTCTGAAGCACCTCCAAGAAGACCCCAGGCTTTGGCATCCGAAACTTCCTCACCCTCTTCCTTTCCATCGAAGTTTCGAAGGCCACCAAAGCCCGGGAAGCCTTAATCCCGAAGCACCGACACCCCTGAACCCCAAACCCCTAATGCCCTAACCGGCCCTAACCCCTAAACGGCCGTAAATCCTAATCCCTAAACCCTAACCCCAAAAGGGCCCTACGCCCAGGTCAAACGCTCATCCCTAAGCCCTAATTATTAATCCCAAACCCTCAACCCTAATGCCATAAACCCAAATCCCTAAGCCCTCATCCCCAAACCCTCAACCCTAAACCCTAATCCCTAAACCTTAATCCCCAAACCCTAAACCCTAATCCCTAAAGCTTAATCCCCAAACCCTGAACCCCTGATGCCCTAAACCCTTTCTATCCGCGTTCCCAAGGCCACCAAAGCCCGGGGAGAGGCGGAAGCTGCCGGGAACTTGGGCCTGGCAAACTACTATGGCAGTGCCCTGGGGACTAAAGGACCTGTGTTCTTTTTTGAAGGAGTTTGAGCAGATATATATATAATATATAATATATATATATAATATATTTAATATATATATATACATATATATGTATCTGTATATGTATGTGTATATATATATATATAGAGAGATAGATAGAGAGAGAGAGAGAGAGACATGTATGCACATGTAGACGACAAGTGGCAACGCAGTAAGATTTTAGAATATGCAATAGATTCATATAGTAGAATGTAGTTGTGCACGCACATACATACAAACATACATACAGACAGACGGACAGACAGACAGGTAGACATACAAAACGCGCACACACACACACACGCACAGCGTACATACACACATACATGCATACACGCATGCATGCATACAGACAGACAGACAGACAGACAGACAGACATACACATGCATACACTTACACATGTATTTATGTAGATACTCGCAGGAGTAGGAGCATGATAGATGTAACATCTCGATGTCGAGGCTCATGTAGTCCTAAAGGTATGGTCGATGCCTTCACCTCGCAGCTGGATGAGTCGAACCCAGTGTTGACGGCCATCTCAGATGCTATGACCGCCGAAGGCGAAGCCCTGGAAGCCGGAAACGGCCCCGAAGCAGCCAAGTGGGCAGAGGAGAAGGCGAGAGGACAGCAGAAGCTGCAAGAGATCAGCAAAAAGTACAAGGAGCACATGCGAAGCCTCAGGGAAAGAGCCCCAGTAGAGGCATAGTCCGCTATGCAGTTCTGGCTCCTGTCGGAAGATGGTTTGAAGCCTCTTCTGGCTCTCCTGGAAGCTTCCAAAGGGACACTGGGTACCGATGTGGCATAATGTTTACTTTCTCTTGATCATTGCTTTGTACAGAACCCGAAATACCAATAATATCGGGGACTGTTGAAATCGACACCTAGGACAGCATGCAGAGCGTGCCCGGCTCTTGTGACAGCCGTTTGGGCTGGTGCCTGGCAGGGCGCGGTCCTCTTTTGTGGGTCACAGACTTGTTGACAATTGATAGCCGAGGTTCCTACATGCCAGTGCAGTTGAAGAGAAAGCTCCTAGCAAATGTAATGCTGATAATGCAAGCATCTGCAAGAAGCACAGCTCCATAGCCGACCTTAGCCGAGCACTGTCCTGTACAGCCGTGAAAGTGCGGCCAGTGCGTGTTTCAATCGCCAGGCTCAGTGCCGTTTGACTTTGCATTTGTGGCCGCGTATTATTTGTTGATTTCGGTGAACCTGCCTGCCAACACACGCTGTTCAGAGATCAGAGCTGTGCACCTGCATGGTTGCAGTTAGTCCCGAACTGTGGACCCTCTAGCCCTTTCGAGAAAACCTGGGACCCAAGCCCTATCTACCGCCTCACAGTCGACAACCGTGCCTGGAGCTTTTGACTTGGCTTCAGCGTCCTCTTGAGGGCTTTTTACGGGACGGGTCTTCAGCGTGTGTGATCACCGTGTTGCTTCTATACGTCTATGTAGCGGTTGCAGGAGGTGGAAAACCGAGTTGCGTTTGGTGTTCACGCTTGTAACGCTGTGAGTGTGCTTGCGACCACCGCGACCATGAGCAGCTCGCCTTCACTCAACGTGGATGCCCGGGACCTGCGTCTCCGGGGAAACAGCCCGATGTCCAAGAAGGGCCAGCGTCTTGGCCACGTGGTTTCGGGTTTCAGCTTCCTTGGTTTCGGGTTCCTAGCCAAAAGTGATCAGAAATACGACAGTGACAGAAGTCCCACCAACCCATAACCTTGCTGAAGGTTCTACTCCATGGTAAGAAGATGGGACCCTCAAGAATTTAAAAAGCCCTAAACCTCATTACTCTAAGGCCCTACCTTCTAAGTATGATGTGCCTTAAAAGCAGCATTCAAGCGGAGAGGACCTACCACCCTAAGAGCCCAAAAGCCCAACCCCCCTTCCACCACACAAGGCCCCAACGCCCCTGCACTTAAAAGCCTTAACAGACTCCAAGCCCGAGACATGAAGAAGCCCCGGACCAAGACTTGGAAACCCGAAGCCGTGGAAGCCCTATTCCTGAAAAGTGTCGGGAACAGGATTTCTCTTGCGACCGGCGAAGCATGCCCCTAGAGCAGGTTGCGTCTCTATGGGGCGTGGTTCGTTACTGTGCCGGTCATTTCATGCTTCACCCCATCTCTTACCTGATATGGAAGTCTCAGCAAACAGGGAATCCTAGTATGTTATTGAGCCATGCGTAATGGAATGCTTACGAAAAGGAAGCCACAAGCCTTAGAGAACCGACAGGTGTAGGATCTTTACAAGCGCCCCAATTTTAGAACCCTACATAGTAGAGTCCTTATTACAAGGATCACTTATTCTAAGATTCTAAGGACCCCTAGTTTCAAGAATAGGCGTCAAAGCGCACCGAAATCCTATAAGCCTTAAGCTTCCCCCAACAAGGACCCTTAGGCTGTGCACCCTCAACTTTCTTAAGCCGGGGTCTCGTTAAGGGATTTAATTTAAGCTACCATAATAGGGATCTATGATAAATACTATGCTTTCTTTATTTATTATGGTATCCTGAAAATTAAATCCTTTAACACTAAACCCTAAACCCCTTAAGTTCAAGACGATCAGCCAAGGAGCCCCACCGCCGTCCCAGAGGTCTCCGCGGGCTGCGGCGGCGAAAAGGCGGGGCGTTCTGCTTAGGGTTTCGGCGTTCTGTTCAGGGTTTAGGGGTTTAGGGTTTAGGGTTTCGGCGTTTAGGGTTCCGGGGTTCTACCTAAACCCCAAGATGTAGCTGGAGCCAAAGCCTAGGTCCCTCAACCCTGGTTTGGGGTTTGGGGCTTCAGGAGTAAACGTATCCTCCCCATATAGTTCTGCTACAAAAAAGGTACACCTGAAGGCCTATTCTAATAGTTGTTGGTCCCTACAAGCCCAAACCTTTATTTCGGGGCGGGTTTCGTGGGTTTGAGGTTCAGGTAACGCCGCCTCTGCCCTTCGCCTCCTTCTAGCCGTCAGCAAGCCGAAGAAAACCCGAAAATCCCCCAAAACAATCCGCAAGGCTTAGCTTGAATAATTGATATCGGCTTCGGAGGGGGGTCGAGGGGTTACATTCTATAGTGACTATAAGGGGTATTAACATTTCTCAACCCCATGACCCTACACATGAAGCCGCTTTTAAAGCCCGGCATTTGTTCCAGGTGGCGCGAGGCATAGCCACGGGTTCTCGGCGTCTGACCAAGATCGCTGGCCTAACGCTGACCCTCGGCCTAGTTGCCTCAACTTTGGGGTTTAGCATGGGCTGTGGCACGGCACCGTTTGTGATTATCAATACCCGTCCTTGAGCAGTATTGTAGTATCCTAAACCCTAAACCCTAAGCCCGATTCCCTGTCAGTATTGGAAGTGTTTTTTTTGGGGGCATGGAGGTCAAAGCTCGATTTGAGGATCAATGCAACAATCCTAAGTGTAAAGGTTGCAGCTTACTGGGGTTTAGGGTCTAGAGCTCGCGACCACGCTCCGAAGCCGCAGCTCTAAACATGCCGGTGTCGGGTTTAGGGATTAGGGTAACATTGATTCCTAACCACTTTGGGCTTGCAGCTCTAGGGAGGTGCAAGTGAGGTAGTATGCTTTCCTCATCGGACGAAGCATAGACCCATTGAGTAACAGAGCACCTAGTGGTCCATGTCCATGCCTCGAATACCCAAGAATCACTCAAGGCCACGCCGCTATAGAGATCAATAATTTGAATGGGGTGCTGAAGCGTGTCATCGTCTGATTTTAATCAGGGTTCCTGAGGAATCGCCCCGTAAGGGTGTGCAATGTGATTCCTATCAGGGGTCCTTATGCTACATACATTGTGAAATATCTCGAACCGTACTCAAAACATTTAGGCCGCCAAAGCCTGAACCCTAAACCCTGTGAGTGCGGACATTCCGCGATCGACCCGAAGGCCAAAACGAGCTCAGCAAGCTTTCCTAGTTTTGGGGTTTAGGGTTTAAGGTTTAGGAAAGCGCACGTTTCATGGCTGGCTCCAGACTGGCTCTACCAGACTGGCTCTAGAATCGAGGAAGGGGGGGTGGGGGCCCGGGCGGGGGCTGAAACTAAACCTCTGGGGCCCTCACAGTCTTGCAGTTTCGGCTTCATCTTTCTTCCTTCAACCCAATACCCCACCCCTCCCCCCCTCGTCAACCCTCGCCCAAAAACAATTTAAACTCCTGAAGCCACTTTTTTCCTGTCCTGGATTACTTACACATCCCTCAACGAAACCTCTGTTTGAAGCCCGAAGCCCTAAACCTCTGTAAGTATACCTCTACAGCCTCAGCAAGAATCTCTATTTTTGAGGTTCGGCCTCATCTTCCTCCTCGCTTTTTTGGGCTGGCCGGGCGCACTCATCGAAGATGACGCGACTCACAGGAGAGGATTTGGGGGTTCAGGGCTTGGGGTTAAGTGCTATTAGGGCGGAAACCTAAATTTTAAAGCCTGAAGCCAAAACCCTAAACCCCTCTCAGCACCCGAAGTAAAGGCGCCCTGAACTTTTTACTGAGCCTTCACAAGCTTGCAGATAAAAACCCAGAAGTTGCTCCAACGTTTGGTTCACCTTTTCAGCTCCTTGTCCGTGAAGCCTTCGTGGCAGGAAGATCCTCGCCTCACTTTTTCTGACCGGAATCACCCTGGTTGCTTTGGAGGACGTCATTCGTCTCGACGCTTGGGCCAACATATCCATCGTCAGAGTGCGGTAAGAAAGGGGTCGGAATGATTTAGTAATACAATCTGGAGGGTTCCTCATTGTATTTAGATTAGATTACGATATACCCAGTAATATACCCCAAAACCCTGTTCTAATTGTGTAGTCTCCGGTAAGTATATCATGTTTCTCCTTAAAATGTTTGGGCGTGCCTAAGCCAAGTAGTCGTTGGATTGCAAGGACAAGGCGGCCATCATGCTACTCGGCTCTTCTTAGGAAACTTAGTTTAAGTTACCACAGTAAGGATCTGTAACATATAATCGGGTTTCTGTATTCTGGCAGCTTAAATTAAACTTGGTTAACAAGAGCCCAGGCTAGTCTTGGCCTCCGTCATGTGGACCTACCATGCCGCACAGAAGCATCCGACCAAGTCAGAAGAGGGGCACGAGCTGCTTCATCACGACCCTTGCCACAAGCTTTGACATGTCGAAGCGGCTGTTATGCAAAGCCCAAGATGCAGATGTGCCATGCTTGCCATGTCATGTCTTTCCATTCACCCGCTAGTTCGTGTGACCACAGGAGCTATCCAAAGGCTTGACGGACGTCGGAAGTGTGATTCTCTTCCTCCTCCCGGCCATGGGCATTGTGGAGTCCATCGACCACATGGATGGTTTTTCTGCAGTCACTTCTTTCATCGTCCGATACACCCAAAATTCCCCCGACCGATTGATGCCCATGATTTGCAGCTTGATGGCATTGGGTGACAGATGCCACTCTGAGGTCGGACGGTTCGCACAGTTTTTCTATCTTTCGACAGCTGTTGGCCATTTGCCGCGAACACTCCTGCTGCTCGCAGTGGCCTGATCATGGGACTCGAATATAGACCACAGTCCAACTACAAACAGTGGAGCATCACTGCCAACTTGAATGTCTTGCCGTAAACCGTCCGAGCTCCACGAGCTATGCTCGTCAGTCCGTGAGCATGCTGCCATGTGAAGCTATCACCAGTTCTGCTTAGACAAGTCTTGGCCAACACATCTGCGGATTCACTAGAAAGGTCGATGTTCATGCTATCACAGCCTTCATCGAAGGATATTCAGGCAACAACATCTTGTAGCCTGCACAGCCATGCCTGCCAAAACCAGCAGACGCAGTGTGCCTGCGTCCAATCCAGGCCCTGTAAACACCAGAAGAACCCTTAAAGCAAGTGAACATGCGGCCGTGCCTGACAAAGCACAGGCACCCTTGCTTTCTTCTTGAGCTCCGTCATCGACAACCTAACCGCCACCATTGTGTGCATCAAGATCCTAAAGCGCGTGGTGCCTCACAATCAGGCAGCTCAGCTGTGTCAGGCTGCGCATCGCAGGGTTTAGGGCTACAAGGTTGATAGCGGGTGTCTCCGAGTATTTTTGGATGCATTTTGAATTGCTGATTGGTGTCAGGGTTTTGGAGGGATCATGCGAGAGATCTCTTACTCCTCGTGTCTGCCACTTTAAGTTCATGAAGAAGCTGACAAAGTTTCTCACATAGGAGTCGGATGAATTGGAATGCCGTACAGTGAAACTTTGTGAAACTATATCCTTATAGTCCCCATGATGGGCAAAATAATAACACTAGGCAGTGAGGACCCCTACATTATAAGCCATTCCAAGCCATTTCAAGCTCTCCTTGTCCACTGTGGGCTCTTCGGATTGCTTTCCTCTGGAGTCTCTGGCTGAATCCTGAAGCCCTAACCCCCAATCAAGGCTCCAGAGACACCCGAATCATCCACAAGGCCAAGGGGCCTGAATATAAAACGCCTTCGAAGACGAAATCCTTATGGGGCATGATGCTTCCAGGCGTGAACCCGGCCAGCCTGCAGAAAGGGCTTCTCGGAACCCTTAAGCAATCCTCCTAGGGACCCTCATATGAACCGAAGCGGCCAGGACTGGAGGCACTCTTGTGGCGGGGTCGTCGTCGTCGCGGCCAATGCTGGAGGTGCCTGGAGCCCTATCGGAGATGCTCCTTCGGCTAAACCACCGTTAAACCTCATGGTCCTGAGGAACCTGCAAGTAGCCGCTTGATTTTTGGACAGCAATCTTAAAAGTTTCTATTTTGACCAGTATGCAACTATGAGGCGCATGGACCCTTGCATTGCGGCATTGTAGGGCTTTAGATAGAGGTTGATGGCAAGCCCCCAGGTTTCAAACGGTCGCCAGGGTTTCGGCGTTTTGGCTCTGGTTGCTTGTAGTACATTTTGCGGGCTTAGTCCTGGGATGTTCTGAGGTTGGCACTGCGCGCGTCTGAGTTCACCTGAAAAGACGGTTCGGGTGCTCCTGAACGCAAAATAACACGTTGTTGTAGGAAAGATGTGAGGAAGTCAACGTAAGGTAGCTCCCGGAATGTAACTTCTAAACTGTCTCTTTGGGTTCAGGCACACACAGACACACAGATGCACACTCGAAGAAGCCAACCTCAAAACATACCTAGAACTGAGACCGGTTTTCTTCTTACCGAATGACAACTCGACACCGGGTTCTGAGGGAGGTGGTACAGCTCGTGTTCTGTACAACTTCGTGTCTTTGCTTAATCTCGTCATTTCGCCGCTACCTCTACTCACTGAAAACTTTCCTTGATTTGGGATGGCTAGCCGTAGCGGGTCCAGCGCTTCCACACGCGACTTGGCATCCGCGTCTCTTGCGATGTGCCCCGCGAGGAAACCCACAAAATCGTACTCTGCTTGACTCACTAACCCCAAAACTTGCAGACATTCTGCATGGGCATCCAAGGTGACGACGACAATGCTTTGGATTCTCACCTGCACAGATCAGCCAATTCTGTTGAATCGGCTCATAAATTCTGAAATCTAAGCCCCGAAGAACCATAAGTTATATTGATCAGGGTCTGGAAGCATGTAAACACAACTGATTGAAGCTTACCTTTAGGTATTTCTGAGAGCTCCTCACCATGATTCTGGTTTCACCTCGCTTAACACCGTTGGACTCAAGAGTCGAAGCCACTCGGTTAGCTCGGGTCGAGTTCTTCAAATGAGGTTCCCTGTTTGAACCCCCAAAATAGTACGGCACCCTTATCGAGAGGACCCTGAAGGGTACCCTAGTTTAGGGAACTATGCGACAAGACAACGGCGCCTGCGCAGCACGGCAACAGTGCCTTGGGCTTCAGGGTTCACGGATACCATGCTGTACCATGCCATGCTATAACTATAATGTAGTATACCATACCATTCCATACCGTATCGCACTATACTATACTATGCTATACTATAACATTATGCTTTTTCATACTATACGGTTCTACACCATACAATACTATACTGTAATATACCATACCATAACAACAACAACAACAGCAGCAGCAGCAGCAACAACAACACCAGCAGCAGCAGCAACAACAACAACAACAACTACTACTACTACTACTACTGCTACTACTACTACTCCTACTCCTCTTGCTGCTGCTGCTGCTACTACTACTACCACCACCACCACCACCACCACCATCACCACTAACACTACCACTACCACCCCAACGACGAGGACGACGACGACTACTACTACTACTACTCCTCCTCCTCCTGCTGCTGC